TTATTTAAATAACCATTTAATATCTTCCTTTGCTGACGTATACAAATGTAAATCGGTTTTTTGGACACAACCATTTGGTTTTGTATGAGTTTACTAAACGGTTTAGTCAAATAAATTATTTTATATATGTTTATTAAATGGTTTCGTTAAGAAACTGTTTAATATATGAATTCAAGAATTTGATAAAACAAAGAGAGGAATTTTAAGCTATCAAACTTACTTTCTTACCATACTTTTGATGAAAAGGGGTCTACAAAACTCTCACTTCTCATTTTTGTATCAACACAACACCACTTGAGATTTTATGCATTTGTGCATTGTTCTTGAGTTTCCTTTTATTTGTTATTTATCTTTGAAGTGGACTTATTTACTCATAGATTACTAGTTAATATTTTGTTCTAAAGTTCCTCTGATATTATTATTGAGAGTTTCCTTTTAATTGTAGTTAGGATTTTTCTTCTGAAATTGATATATGAAAACGCATTATGTGAATGTTGGTTGGAAATTGTTATTAATTTAATGTTAAATTTGTGAAAAGAAGGCATTTAACTTGGGAATTGCTCAATTTTATATTGTTATGCTACCAAATTCTTTTAAAAAATTTTGGTTTTGGCCTCATGTAGAACAGCTTTAAGCCGTGTTTAAGTTCTTTGAAATTGTTTATTATTTTATTTGATTAAATTAGTATAAATTGAGGACATAAGCTTGGAAAACACCAATTTTAATCTATTATGCTAATCTTTGCTGTAAAAAAAAAAATCAACCTAATTAATAACAACAATGAGAACGACGATGATGACAACAATAACTAAAATAAACGAATAACTAGTGCAAAATGAATCTCCCTCACAAATATAATAATTAAACTCATAATTGAAATTTAACTTTCATCTTATATGTATTTATAGTTAATCTCTAACTATCTATATGTGAAAAAATTAGCCTGTTAATAAGCATATGAGAAAGAAAATATTAGAGGCTAAGAAAGTACTAGAGGTCAAGAAAGTATCGGAGCATTTGAAAGCACCAATAACTAAGCGAAAGAGGGAAAATGATAAGAACACCATCGATAAATTCAAGGAGTCCATCACATTTTTCAAGAAGGCATCGAAGGCTCTCCTTCCACCTAAAGCCTCTCAATTAGCATCTCAGCGTGCAGTAGCTGTTCCTGACAGACACCAAAAGTTGCTCAAAACTTATGCAGAGACACAAGAAGGAATATTGCTTCCCTTCCCTGCAGAGATGTATGCAGATCCAGAGTCTGTTGATCAAGTTAACAATGAGGTATTGATGGACTTATTCAATCATGCATAGGCTATCACTACCTTATATAACTTATATATGAGGTATGTGTCTAAAACCTTAAATTAAATGTTTAGTTATATATATATATATATATATGCTTCAATCATTCATTAATTTACTTATTTTGACATTTAAGGAACCTGTACACTACCATGCTTGCTGGGAGAGGCGATGTAGTGCAGAGGGTGATACTCGTTAGTCCCCACATAGTCTCTCCTCATGGCCATAAGACAATAACTCCTAAAAAGGATTAGAAAAAGCTCGAAGGCTTTCTAAGTACTTTGAGCAACGTGGCATCGATGAGAATAAAATATTTATAGTGCCTTATTGTGAAGGGTAAGTCACTTTATGATACATTATTTTTTTTTCAAAATTAAATTGTGATATTTCCTAATTGTAATCATTTTCATACGGGGCGTTGGATGTTACTTGTGATCAATATAGTTATAACCATTATATTATTTTTATTAATTAGCATGACTTTAATTTGTTATTGTTTTTGTATTGATCAATACTAGGAGGATACTTACTGTGACGTATATACTAAGGTTCAAATGGAATAAGTCCTTGAAGAGCTGGCATGTAATATTTTTCAAGCATGGTTTAGCTATAACAACTAGTAATAATGAAGAAATACATCATATAAGTATATATTTAAAGTTGACATAAGCATATGTGTACTTTGCTAACTTTTTAGGATTTGGAGCTTTATTTTGGCCATTAATTTTTTTAAGTTATAAGCAACATCAAATTTTATATAATTTGTGTAGGAATTCATAATGTAAATTTGATATATATAATTATTGTTAGCTATTGAAATTCTATTCTAGGTGCTGAAATTGTATTTTATAAATGTTCAATGTAGGAGGGCTAATAAAAAGTAGAAAGAATAGGGAAAAAAATTGGTCACAATATTAAACTGTTTTGACCAAATGTACAATAAAATAATATTCAACAGTTTAAAATAGAACCGTTGAATATTTTTAAATACTAAACAGTTAAAAATCGTTTAATATTGTGATCAAATATACAGTAGAATAATATTCAATAGTTTGAAATAGAACCATTGAATATTTTTAAATAATAAATAGTTATATGGATAAAACTGTTTAATACTTACATAATATTCAATGGTTTTGTCAAAAAACCATTGAATATTTTAAGAATGTTCAACAGTTAAAAATTATTAAATATATGCATTTGGAATATGAAGTGCTTGATTATTCAATGATTCATAATCATTTAATATTATTAAAAATAATCATTTTATATACTTTTTTTTTTTTGTAGTAGTGGCATGTCTTCAAAACAAATACAAATTCGTCTTAATGCTTTTTGTTAAAGTATTTAAAGATATTTTTACTTGTTAATAACTGAACTATTTAAATAGAAGCATATGATATCTTAATTTTTTTTGAGGTATAATATTCTCTTTTAATAATTGAAAATGATTATGATTTTTAAGTGAATAATTGAAAATTTTAAAATTTAATAATTTAATATATAATAATTATAAGAATATCGATTTATGTTGAACATTTAATAATTTAACATTCTTCTAAGTTTTGTTCAGTTAATCACGTGAACAAATCCCTCAAGAAATATCTGTGTAATTTATTTATTTTTTAATGTATGCTTGTGGGTTTTAAAAATAGGATTAATGAAGGGAAAATTGTACTCCATCTATCTCAAATTATAAGGTATTTTTGGAAAAGATTTGCTATTCCAAAATATAAAACACTTTAGAAAGATTAAGGTTTCATTAAATAGGTTTATCAAAATTACTCTCTCTCTCTCTCTCTCTCTCTCTATTTAATACTAATTAAGTGTGGATTTAAGATTATTAAATGAAGGGTGTTTGAAATTTTAGATTTTTACTTTGAAAAATAATATTGTTAAGTGTATTTAATAAGGATTATAGGTATGTAAAATTTTATCTAAAAATATCTTATAATTTAGAACGAAAGGAGTATAATTTGAACAAGGGTAAATGATTAAATCACTCCCTAAACCTTAAATCTAATAAAACCATAGATTTTAAACTAATTTATTATACATATTGTTCCCTCAATTTTTTAAAAAAGTATGATTTTAACCTTACTATTAACAAAAGTTAGTTTTAGTTGTTATTTGACTAAAAAATGATAGAAAAAGACAAAAATTATGAAAAAAGATTCAAAATTATAAACAATGACCTAAACAATTATAGAAATGCTTTGCAAAATAAAGCAAATTCAAGATCTATAGTGCTATTAGAGTTAAAATTTAAAAGATAATTTGCTCATTTAAAGGACCTTTCAATATAAGAAGTATTTTTTTTTTTGAAAAAAAGGGAATTACTAGTTTGTCCATTCAAACTGTCGATATATAATTGTTTTGGAATAATGATTTATGAATAATATATATTGGTTCAATGACTGCTTTAACAATTTTCTTGCAGGATCAACCGATATCCCAATCAGTTTTTTAAACAACTAGCTTTTATTATCCCGTGCTATATTTAATAGTTCGTAAAATTATGAAAAAAATTATTTTTTATACAAGTTATATATAAAAGGAATATTTAATAGGCAATGAAATCAAACTTATCTATATAAATAAAATGATAAAAAACTTGTAGAAGGCATGAGCATAGCAATAGCCATATACACACAAACCCATAATGTTATTGATGGATGCAATTAAGACTTCGAAGTAAACATGCTTAGGCTATTCCCAAAAAAAAAAAAAATGCATATTTGATTAGAGTTTTAATTTACTTTGACTGTTGAGTTAGAACATACTTGGCAAGTACTTCTTGCTAATATTCTTTAATGTTATTAAAAAATTAGAACTCTATATTTTTCAAGTCCCAAAACATTGGTTATCATCAATTTAGCTAACATACATTAGCAAGGGGATCTATTTTAATATTAGCAAGAGCACCAAATATACAAATTATGGTAGCATTTAGAGTCAACATAATTCACCATGTTTTGTGAGATAAATTAAAAAAAATCATATAAATGCTGGTTAATAGTTGATGAAAAATTTTTCAATAAAAAGGTAAAAAATTATGAGAAGAGTGTCATAGAGCATTTAAATCTTAATGCATTATAGTTTCCAACCGAGGTGTTTTTAGAAGCCTAATACTTTCCATGTCAAGTTGTTTACTTACACTTACAATCCCTCTTTAAAGAACATTTTTGATAGTTTGGAGCTGACCAAGTAATTCAAGGTTTGCATGCTACATCAACAAACTAAATGGAAAATAACAGGAGTCAAAAGTCACAAAAGGGGGGTGAACTCTCATTTTAGTTATATAAAGATTGCCAAAAAAAAATTCAATTAAGGCTGAAGATATATATTATTCTATCTAAAAAAATTAAAATAAAATAATGAGGCTAACTTTATCCTTAGACCCAGACATCAAATCTCTAAACAAACTAATCTCACTTGATAATGTAGAGAACTATTAGTTTACTTCAACAAATTAATTGAAAATAACTTCATCCATTAAATTTAATGAAATGAGAACAAAAAAATACATACGAAAGGCCTTGAAAGTAACAACCATAATTAAAATCAGAGAAGGTTTGAAAATAAAATTATATAATCACTCATCTCTGTTCTTTTTTTTTTTTTTTTTGATATTCTAAACATTCCAAATTACCCTTGAAGCCTATCTTAATTTTAAAATCCAAACTCCCCAGCTATAAATTTATCATCCTTAATACTCATTTTGAATTGGAGTCGTAGATCACATCATATTTAAAATACAAGACTTACCACAAACCTTAGAAAATGAATCGTATAACAATATATATTAATCAAAAGATTATATGTATATCTAAATCGATAAAACAAATTCAATTGAAGATATTAGAGCTCACAAGAAAGAATGATTAAGATGGAGACAGCTCCATCCATTGATGTCATATTCATGTCAATATGTTCTTCGCCTTCATACTCTACTCCATCAACAATGGCATCTTGATGCTGTTGATATTTTGAAACCAGATCCTTCATGTTGTCAACTTCAAAGAAACCTTGTCTCGGGGAAGGTGCTGAAAAAGAAGGTAAAGTAGTTAAAGCAAATATATATATATATATATATAAAGGGCAGGAAAAGAAGCATAACAAAGTTGCGTATTCAAAATTTTCAAAGATGTAGACACACAAATTTCAAGCCCAATAAATTTCAGAACTGGACAATATGACACACACAGACTTTGCTAACCTGTCATGGTCTGTGTTTGAACAAATTTAAGGAATAACAGCTTGCTTCTTTCAGTGGCTTTAATCAACTGAAGCAAATGCTGCCCCTTTTAATCAACCTATGAAACCAGATTGTTCATGTTGTCAACCTCAAGAAACCTTGTCTCATGGACGGTGCTGAAAAAGAAGGTATAGTAGTTAAAGCAAATATACAAAAAAGGGCAGGAAAAGAAGCATAACAAAGCTGCGTATTCAAATTTTTCAAAGCTGTAGCCAAAAAAATTTCAAGCCCAATGAATGTCAGAACTGGACATTATGACACACACACAGAGACTGCGCTAACCTGTCATGGTCTGTGCTTTAACAATATTAAGGAATAACAGCTTGCTTCTTTCAGTGGCTTTTAATCAACTGAAGCAAATGCTGCCCCATTTTCAACCTATGAAGCTGATCAACTGAACCTGCACAATATAGCTATTGATCAAGCCAAATCAACCAAGATGTCCTTTCCTTTTCAGCTATTCAAAAGATAGCTACAAAATTCATGTGCTGTCAAATCTCTTTTCTCTATACCCTAATATCTTAGAAATTTCTGATAGATATAAAGTAGATGGATTTTTTATATGGCGTCATGGAGACTTGAGACTGAGCGCCTCCCACTAATATTGATAAGTACATATGAATTCTGAGACCCTTTTTAATCTTTTTGATACTTCTTTCAAGAATATCACGTATGTTTTACTTTTTTTTAATGAAGACCCTTCAAGGGTGTCTCATTATATTTTATTACAAATAGTTAATCCATGGACTATTGTCATGGAGACATCAATATCAATGAGGGATATATAGAGAGTAGATAATTGAAAATGTTCTTATAAAAATTCATAAGTGAGCTCCATCATGCTGAAAAAACATTATTGTATGAAAAAGAGTTCAAGGCAAATGATAATCTAAGGGTTAAATCATAGAAAACTCTTTCTCCTAATACTTAGCTACAATAAACTGAACACAAATCTAAGGGCTAAAACGGGTAATGAAATAGACTTGGGATAATAGTTTTTTGTCCTTTTGGCATAGTATATCTACCTATTGTAATCTCTTTTAGCATAGTCTGAAAAGTTTGAGAAAAAACAGTGTTGACTATATCCAATGCAACATAATTAAAAGTAAGCATGGTGTGGAGCCTTTTACAGTTGAAAGCTGCAGCAGATTTCTTTTTGATAGGTGAGACTTTAAAGTCGAGACTTTTTTTTTCCAAGTTTATGTGTCGCTAAGATTTGAGGTTGTTTTATACCAAGCAATCTTTTTACTTCCATATTCAGAACTTAACATGTCACATTAGTGCCAGCTGGAGGGATAAATCTAAATATTAAATCATACTTACTAATAGAATAAAGAAAAATCCCAGGTAAACAAAGAGTTAGAATGAGTGTTAAAATGCATAAAAAAACATCTATCTTAAATCTTAATTATAAGCCCCCTTGTATAGACCAAACAAATATCTAAGCAATATAAACAATGATAAAATCAGCACAATGGCGTCTTGCAATCCATGTAGCCGACCCCACCTAGTGGGATAAAGGCTTGTTGTTGTTGTTGTTGTTGTATAAACAATGATAAAATCAAGATGCATAAGGTATCACAACAACTGTGATTTCCCATGATGGTTTGTTCGGCAAAGCTTCTCTTTTAGGATCATAATATAGATTATTTTTAGCTAAAAAAAAAGAGATAGGACATTTTTTTTTCCTGGAAAAGCTTCTCTTTTAGGATCAGATCATCAGAATATAAATTATTTTCCCATGATGGTTTGTTTGGCAAAGCTTCTCTTTTAGGTTAGAATATAAGATTATTTTCGAGCTAAAATTACATGCCTCACCAAGGAGATGCAAAGCTCTGTTTACTCATGTTTTAACGTGCTCCCAAGTCCCAATGAAGTTCTGATCACAGAGAAGAGGCATTAAGTTGTACTGCTGAGTGACAGCAAGCGTAGAGGAAATTAAGCTTACATATTATTATCTATGCTGAAACATTGCAGTAAGAAATTTGAAAAGCTTATACATTAGTATATAGGTGTGTCATGAATATATGATTCGACATCAATAAATGAAAAGAAGTCGTCAAAAAGCTCAATGTGGCACCAGGAAAAAAGCTTTTATAGAAGGCAAAAAATATTAGCGAAAAAAAAAAAAAGCAGAAGCAGAAGAATACAAAATGCTTTTACTTTTTCATTGATAGCCTGCAGCAGCATGACAGTTGGTAGGACCTCTAGATGTTTGACCAGCAAGTACGGTTTACCTAGTAAATAGCAATCAATCAATATAGTTAAGAAGCAACAGTAAATGAGTTCCAAAACAAATCCCATACCAAAGATAGCATCATTCTCCTGTATTCCTATGGAAGTTGTCCTTAATATTACAGGTATTAATAATAACCTCTTTTGGAAATGGAGGAGGGATGGTCAAGCTGCTTTATAATAACAAATGCAAAGGCTAAAAACTGAAAACATACCAATGCAAAATCGATTCCTCGAGAACAACTCCTTTTCCAAGAAGGTGAAACATAGTCAAATGAAATGAAATGTATAACAAACCCATACAGGACAAACCAAAAGCATGTTGTCCTAGACCCAAGGGAAAGCTACCAGACTAAGATTGCACGAAAATGCCATTTAAGTTTATCTGTCTTGACAAAAGAAAGTGAAAGCATGCACTTCTATAGCAGATATCATTAGATGAAAGTGGGTACATATATAACTGTTTTTTTTTCAGTATGAAAGTACAGATATAACTTATCTAAGAAAAATTGTACACATATATTTATAGATTCATTAATAACTTATCTCACCAATTCCAAGAACTTGAGTAGTCTTGCTACCTCGAAGCTAACATATAAGAAGTAATAGATTTTTCCCAAAACAAAAAAGAAATGAATATCATTTATGAGAGCTCACGAGGGCATAACAAATCACCCTAGAAAGTAAAAGAAGCCTGAGACTTGATCTGATAGTAACCACTCATCACCCTAACATAACCTTTTAAAGTTTCATCTTTTCTAGATTGAAAGTGTAACAATCCAGAATTTTTTTAGTGAAAATTGACTTCCCATGTAATTGGAAAGCCACAATCAAAAGTTAAAACAATATATCACCAAAATGGAGATATATAAAGTTTTCCATTTACTAAAGCCACTCAGAAAAATGATTATGTGCTACATAGCATGGCCCTACTAACAAATGGGGAAAAAAACAAAATGGCAGCTTTTTGTCAAACCATCGACAATGATACAACAACAACAACAACAACAAGCCTTTATCCCACTAGGTGGGGTCGGCTACATGGATTGCAAGACGCCATTGTGCTCTATCATTTATTAAGCTTTTCGAAATATTATTAATTAAGAGATCACGTTCAACAACTTCCAAGAGTGTTCTCTTAGGCCTTCCTCTACCTCTCTTAATCGGACTCAAAGTTATATGTTCCACTCTTCTCACTGGTGCCTCCCTTGGTATCTAAAGATTTTAAACTTGGTCTATAAATAACAAAAAATTAGGTTTTTTGAAATGATCATAGATATTCTCCAAAGTAAAATTCATTATTTGAAAGGCCATTGCAAGAACATGCATTAATTATAGTTGAACTCACAATATATAATATTTTTCTCAAATAGCCTGAAAAGGTTAAGGAACTCCATAGACAATACAATATAATCTTCCAGCTTCTAGGACTTATTTTGCTTCAGCTTTTACATTTGATAAATTTGAGCTACAATGTCACAATGAGAGAGAAGGTTCAAGATTTACCATAGAGAACTGGAAGAACAAAGAAGTTGACCTCAATCATGGCGTTAAATTTAACACACCAATTTGGTTGCCACAAAAATAGGCATTACAGCTTGACTAATAAATAAAATAGCAAAGACCAGATTCAGAGAAAAATGACAGAAATTCAGTATAAATAACTATGTTACTTATATAATTGAAGAACTATAGTTCCTAAAAAAATGAAAATGAAAACTGACAAAAAATCTTGATAAACCATCAGCAACCAATGAAACAAACCAAAGAAAGTATCAAGAAAAACCAAAGGAATGGCGTATTGATCAAAACCAAACCTTCTAGCAATAAGCCTGGTGAATCTACTCCTCAACTTAAAAGTAATAAGCCTTAACATTTTCTTCTTCCTTCGTGCCAATCTCAGAAGTCAAATGAAGAAACTTCACATCCCATTCTTCTTTCCTATAAAGTTACTCCATCATCTTCCTTTCTTTCTTGTAGCCGAAAGAAAAACACCAAAGAACCTTAGGTATGCTTCACTAAAATATAGGAGTGAAAAAATGAAGTCTACTATCAAATTATCATGACACTCAATTCAAAAATGTTGTTTTCATCCACAAAAAATGACGGAGAACCCACGAAGCAGATTCTTGCAAAGAACTACAACAAAGAGAGGGAAAAGCCAAGTAAAGATATCACAAAAAGCCACAAGAAACCCTTTGTGACTAAATACAAATCAAAGGCCACAGAGCCAGACAATACCAATGAGAGAACATTTAAGTGAGACTTGCCTATGTCCTAAAATTATTCAAGATGAGTCATTTGAAATTTGAAAGATGGATCTTGTTTTAAATAAAGAAAAAACAATTTTCATCGACAATTTATGTCGGAACCTTTTTGCATTGGATCTTGCTGGTGTCTAGGATGATTTGAGTTAAACCTAAGAACCTCTGCTTCAAGGAAATCAGGAAGTTCTCAGCTCTTTCTGCTAGCAATTCTCTCGTCTCCATCAACCCTAAAATCTCTCAACATTTCCTAGGCTGATTTTTCTGTTAAGCGGCTAGGATTAGGTGTGGGTCTCGAATGAGCCCTTTGATGGCACACCAATCTTGAGGCTTCCACTCTGTTAGAAATCTCTAGAGTCGTACAATCATTGGAGAGGTCGAGGCAATCAAGCAGACTCTCTAAAAAGAACAGACCTGAGCGTCAAACACCAGAAGGTCATCTAGTTTGGAAAAGAAAATGATGAAAGTAGGAACTGACCTGAGCATCAAACACCAGAAGGTCAACAGATTGAACACACTTGGGAAAACCAGTAAGGAAGATCTTTTGCTGAAGGCTTAAGGTTGGAAGCAGCCATTTGTCAAGCGACAAAGCAAGGACAGACGAGGTTGAAGAAGGAGATGATGGAGATTCGATGGCCGATGGTTGCAGACTTAGGAAGAAAGGGGGAAGAGGTCGAGAAGTTGGTTATGAAAAGTGGCTGAGCACGAGAGTGTCGTCGGATTGAACGAAATGAGAATTGTCGGTTGGGAGGAAAGAGGGGGCGATGGCGTTTTGTGGAGGCTTAATGTGCTTGATTTTTAATTTATCAAAAATTTATATGATGAAAGTGTGAAAATCAACTTAATAAAAATCAGTTGTTAAAATAAAATTTTTATTTAAATATATTTTTTTAAAAGTTAGTTTGATATATTAAAAGTTATTTGATTTATGATAATAAAATGTGCTTCTGAATGTATAATTATAAAAAAAGATATTAATTTATAATGATTTATAATTTTTATTATATAAATATAATATATTTAAAATATTTAAAAATATAATAAAGATTTAAATAACATAAATTTTGATTTATAATGTTAAAAATTTAATCTTTAGTTATTTGTATTTTTTAATTTGTAATTTTAAAGATGTAATAAAGATTTGTAATTTTTATTATACATTAATGTTAAAAATTAACATGATTAATTACTTAATTTATAATACTAAAAAAATTGATACCTAATTATTATTATTATATTTTTAATAAATTAATTATTTTTAAATAAAAGAATAAAAGATTAAATTTAGGATAGTATGGTCAAATAACATCTTACTTTTTAAATTCACTTTTTAAAAGTTTTAAATAGTTATATTTTAGAAATTCACTTTCAATTATTGTTTGAATGTATTTTCAGAATGTATTTTTTTATAAAATATTTATTCAAATAATTTTTAATTTTTTAAAAGTAAAATTTTACTTTCTGAATATAAAACGAAAAAAAATCAAACGCACCTTCAATGCCTTTGGATTGGATTCCAAAGGCACAGATGTGACGAGGCGGTGGAGACGCTAGTTTTTTTTTTTTTTTTTTTCTTTTGGGAATGGGTAAATGAGAGTGCATTATTGCTTGTACAGAGACTTCGTAAACAGACCAATATCACTTTCCTCCATTTTTACTAGAGTATAAGGGATGCTAGCTTTAGACGAGATAATTGAAGGAATCAGAGGATAAAAGATTCATTCAAAATCTACACCATATACTTCTCACTTTTTACTAATAAAGTGTGTTAAACCAGAAATGCCCCTAACGTGCTTCATATTTTGAGAGAGAAGAGGAGTGTTCCCAATTTTACATGTTCAATAAATTCCAAAAATACCCCTGATTACCGTTCATAAGGATCACTTTTTGAAATAAATTTTTATAATATATTGATGCAATAAACAAAATCTTGAAGGCAATCAGTATCAGAGCGTTGGTCATGGATTTATCCCGGGCTGAAGATATCAATAAATGCGACATTAAATTTTGGCCATTTATTTTTTAAAATAATGCAACTTTGGATCCTTTATATTTGAGGAAATTTCAATTTAATCCATCAATTTTAATCTCTAACGTTTGTTTTAGTTATAAAGTTAGTCTTTTAAGTTTTACAAACTAAATTAATTAGTTATAAACAAAACTAACGTGTAAATCAAGTCCAAAATATAAACATTTTTCTTAGCTAATCTTAATTCAAAGTATAACCAATCTTGCACATTTATTTTACTTTTTATATTTATTAACTTAGATCTTTAGGTAAATTTATTTCTTACCCATCATAAAGTGCATTGATAATTGTGATTAAGGATAAAAAACAATATATATTTTTATAAAAATATGAACTTTATTGACATACAGATTTTTTTTTTAAAGTTGCTTATATTTTAATTCAGATGGAGTAATTCCTAATTTAATCTAGCTAGTAGCTTTTTTCCTGAACATGTTGCTTTTTTACCCCTTATCCAAGTCAGCATTATTAATTGCTTCCTGTTTGATTAATCTACTTGACTGCCATATCATCATTCCATTAGCCATGTCAGTGTAATTTGACAATGTTGATTTCTCTTATAGGATTAATGACTACTATTTAAATAAGTTTACGAAACATTAAGGATTAAAATGATAAAATTTAAATTAAAAAAACTGACCTAATAATCCACTCAAAACAAAGAGATTAAAAGTTATATTAGTTCTCGTGCATGCTCGCTATGTATCATTGTTTCTGTCATCTCGTGTACATTTCCATGTATAATATGGCATGGGTTTGGATCTTTTCCTTACTCTATCTTAACATATCTCTCCATATTCAATCATATCTATCCATTCCAATACGGCACTGGGACTTGGCCACTTGTAGTAGTTTCCATTGATCCCATGAAACGTATAGCAACTTTGTTCTTTTCATATGGCAGGAAAAGTATCGTACCTTTGACACATTGCAATTTTGAATGGTCTTTGTTCGACTTATGGCCCTCTCGAGACTTTCGTTGTCCGTATTGTCTTTCACTTCATTGCAAGTAACTAATATAATTACGTGAAAAGGTTGGCCAAGTGAACAATGGAGACAGGAACTTGTGAGGATGAAGAGGAGGAGGGGGGAGTGCGTTAGCATCTATACTTTATCAGGCAGAAGCAATCCTGACCTTTCATTTCAATCTAAAATGACCTCTGTTATTTATTTAAATTAATTTTTAAATATTTTTAATATTATATTTATTAATTAAAAAATTTAATATGAAACTTGTAATATTTAGAGTATATTTAAATGATTAATTTATAAAATTTATAAATTTTTAATATTAAATCAGGTTATCTAAATTATATCTGAATTGTGTAGAATATATTTGGATAGTTAAATTGTAAAATTATACGTTTTTTAATATTAAATTGGATTATCTAGATTAAATCTATGCTGGCCAGATTGTTAATGAACAAATTTATTAAATTTTTTTATATTTTTATAAACTTTATTTTAAAAAAATATAAAATAAAAATAAATTTTAAATTTGAATGGTTCAAATCTTGTAAGAAGTGATAAGTATTATGGTGCTTATTCCCTAATGAACACTAAAGACAACTCAAATTTAATATTAAAATTTCTTATATTAATAAATATAACATTACAAAAATTTAAAAATTAATTTGTACGAATGATAGAAATTATTTTAGGCTGAAATGGAGAGTCATGATTGATTTTGGCGACTCGAATGCGAACGCAGAGTGGAATCCCATTTGAACTGTTCAAATTTAGGTTGAATAATGTAATATTAAAATTTCAATTTATTTATTTTAAGTAAACTCAATTTGAACGTGCAATATTAATATTGATATAGGGCCCATTTAATTTGTTTCAGCTTAATTTTTTCCATAAAAAAATCACTTACTTGTTAAAAAAATTTATTTTATAAAATTTTACAATGTTCGTTTAAACTTTTAAAAATTAGATTTTTAATTATTTTGAAAAGCTATTTTGTGTAACTTCTAGAAATAATATGAAGCAGTAGATAAGAAAGAATGTCATAAGAGTACAACAATACACAAAGATTTCATGAAATTTTAAGAGAATTAAGTAATAAATTATTTTATAAAACAAAAATTAATCATATACTATAAATCAATAAATAACTGATAATTATTTTTATTATTATAACCAAACATAAAATAATGTTTGCTATCTTCTTATAAAATCTCTACAAATTAAAATTTTTTTTAAATAAAATCTCTAAATTATCTAAAAATCACTTATTTTTTAATCTTGAATAAATGGGCTCATAATTAGTATTCTTAAACATAAATTTGTTTGCATGAAATCTCTAAATTATCTAAAACAACTTATTTTTTAATTTTAAACAAATTAGTTCATAATTATTAATTAGTATTCCATTCATGGGATGTGGTTCCGATATATAAGATCTGTTTGCATGTCTCTTCTTCAATAGGTACATGCATGGGAGGGGGACAAATTGAGAATTATATTTAAGTTGGGGAGGAGGGAGTTAGTGTAAGGCACAAAGATATTGGCTTGCAATTTGTTGAAGTCTTGGTTCCTGCTCAAACATGATTGTCGGTAGGAAAAAGAAATGTCTAACAGAGTTGAGAGGGATCTTGAGCAGCTAAAATGATTGATAAAGGGTCCCTGGAGTTTTCACAATGGATGTGCCCCACACAGCAATACAAATAAGTCTGTGGTGTTGGAAGTAGCTCCAGAAATTAGGTTAAACCCCACAATTGGAAAAACTGAAGGCCATTAGGGAGCTTCTCGAAGTACTTATATGTTTTTAGCTCATTTTTCATCATGTGGTAGACGGTTCTTAAAAGCATTGTTCCTAGGGTGAAAGGCTTCCTTCTAGCCAAAGATTTGGCTATAGACAGGAGCTCGACAATTGGCCTTCCCCCAATTGGACAGAAAATATACTTACTTATCAAAACTCAAGACCCAAACTCATAACCTTGTAAAATCTTTAAAACTAAATTTAGATAGGTTAAATATTTCCCATTAGTCCAATTAGGACCAATGGGTTTAGTTCCATAACCTAAGGTTCGAAATCAACATTCCCATAAAGAAACCCAAGCTAAAACGCATGGAAGAAGAGAGGGAGATGATTACTTTGAGTGTGGAAGCTTGAATTCCTCTAGATTAACCCTAAAAGTGTGTCCTAATATAGCAAAACTTGATCTCCCATTGCCTTTCTCCTTTTTCTCTCTCTTTTTCTTCTCTTATAGTTCACGAATTGCAACTGATCACTTAAAAATTTTGACCATCCATCGCACTAAATAGGCTAGTCTAAATTGTCCCTCAAATTTGGGCCCAGGTGACCTAAATCTCCTTTGAGTTTGATTTTAAAGGCTTTATCCATATCAAGACAACCCATTAGACATAACTAATCATCAATAAACCCATTTATACTAAATTTTACCTAATTACTTTTGTTAAATTAATTTAATATAGGATTTAAAATATAGGATATTACACATAAGGAGCCCCTAATTAGCAACATTTATAAAGTTATACAACCAAAATCCTCTACGTGAGATAAATAAAGGCATTACAATTAATTGCTCTAATTGTATGTCTATGGTTTCTTTCCTTTTGCCATGACCTGACACATCACCTATAAATAGTTTAACAATGGGGAGTAAGATAAAAATTTCAATAACTAAGAAATACCCAACTTCTAACATAAATCAACAAAGCATTTAAGGTTTGTAAGTAGTAAACCACATTCAAACTCACATTATCACATATA